TTTCAGCTGCTCTTATACATCATTTAAGTAAAATCTCAGGAAGATCAATAGTTTTGTAGTTCGAATTTTAGTGACGTCATGTGAAAACCAGCTATACTGTAAGCAGTACCAAGCCACCATTTTTACCCTTAAAAGGTACAACTTTCAAATATTATCATGTTCAGTTGTCTGTCAATTATTATGTTTGTGCCATTTATCAGCTATCAGTTAGAATTTCAGCCCGTCTCTCAGCTATCAGTGAATTTTGACCAATACTCATCTAACAGATAACCCCATGCAGGCCAGGTGATACTACAGCTCTGGGGAAGCTCCCCTTTAACTGAAATGTCGATATAGCAAATTTCCCTCATGCCATTTGTTGTTGTATTGTCAACAGCTTAGTTTTCCAGTTACGAGCAGACTGCTACAATCCTATCATTAGCGGACATTTAATGTTTGGTCGAGTAGAAAGTCTCCTGCATTTTGTACAAAGCTGGTTGCCCGTGGATTCGCGATCATTGGTTGATCTAACGAACGTTTTTAGCGTTAGTGCGCGGATTTTGATTGGCTAGTGACCAAACACGCGAACTGGAGACGAACACGCAAGACACACAAGGCCTAAAAATTAAAGCACGTGGTTCAAGAAAGGCAAAAAAAGAAGGAAACAAACTCACACATTAGACTTTTGCCAAATAGAAGACGAAGTCTAACCAAAACACATTTTCAAGGTCAAGTGAAAACTGATTTTGTTAACTATCGCGAGTGTTACCTGTTTTTTCGAGAACAATTTCAAATCAGTTAGTTGATGTCGTTGAAAAGGGTTTTAGGTTCAATGATGCAAACACAGAACCTACAACAGGAGATGAAAGCTTTGAAACGCTGGTAATTTTTGTGCAACTTGTCGTGCAATTTTGTTGCATCGTTTCGACTGAGATAAGTCGCACAAAACGTTACCTAGTGCGTGTAATATGCCCTGGAATAAACCTGTCTCACAAGATTTTCAGTGCAGTAATTGTTAAGAAGAGTAGAACTTGATTCTATTTTGTACATGTTCATCTCAATATCAAGGGATGTTACACTACGCAATTGAGACCATTGAGACAAATTCCAAGAAAAATTGCCCAGCGTAACAGCGCCTTTGCTCAACCAGGCTATTCTGAACACTAGTGCAGTATGCATAGTTTGTCTTGTTTTCATCTTCAATTTTAAACTGATTACCATCGACTCGCAAGTCTATCTTTTCCGCTTTCGACTGCGTCGCTTCGATTTTCCAACCTTTTCCTTTCCACTAGTAAATTCTATAAAAGACGCATTTTCTTCATCTTCCCCGTCGTCTTCTTTGATGTCTTCGCGGAATATTTCATTTTCTGATTCCACTTCTTCAATTTTAGCCTTAAGAGAGTCTTCTTTTGCTAAAGATCACAAAAAAGTATTTTCATTAACCTTGACATTGATCTCTTCTCCATGAGCTTTAATTTTGGCAAAATATGATGGCCCTTCATTGCAGGAGATCAAACATAACTATCTATAAATAAAGCGCGAGTTCCGTAAAGAAAAAGATCAAATGCGCTAAATTCAAAGACAAAAAATTACCTTGTTCCACAATTTTTTCAGTCTTCTGAAGTGCGTCTTCGAATGATTTTAACTCATTGATAAGCGAGCTGATGTTGGTCCAGTTGAGAGAAGATTCTATGGACTGCACCTCGTTGTTTATCGAAGAATGGATTCTCTCCAAACGATCCAAATCTAGTTCAACTTGCTTCTTTTCACCAGCCAAAGAAGGATCTTCTAACGTTTTGCGCAGCTCGTTTTCTTTCGTCAAAGAGGGGTGAACTTTGTGTAAATAGAGTTCTTTATAGTGGTGGAATTCCTTGGCTTTTTGGAAATGTGCATGAGTACTTCGGTGGGCTTCTGCAGTCTCCATATGTTCGTCTGGTGATGTCCTATTCATCTCTTGGTTGCTCCCGTGACGGTCTTCTAAAGAGCAAACCATGAAAAAAAGTAATTAACTGACTAGGCTATTTACCGTTAATTTGAAGACCATTTGAAATTTAAAACTCAGAATTCTAGATCGCGGATTGAATTTCCAATAAGTTTAGTTTCTTTAAGATCCTTATTTCTTCACATTTCCCTCTGATTCAACAGTTCTTCATAACGAGGCAAATGTCTATTGTCCACTTCTAGAGCCCCGCCCTCTTTTATGACAAGAGTCATCAACAAGCCAACTTAAAAGCAGTTTTCTTTTTATGACTACAGAAACAACAAATGTATTTAAAGGATCACCTTCATTATCTTCACTGCCCATGGGGAGGCTCTCATCCTTTTGAACTTGAAAATTTGTTCCACAAATTCCACAGGCAGATGAGTCGACTCTGAACTGGGCAAAATGTTCCTCTAACGCGTTCGATGACGACCTGGTCTGTTCTTCAATGGACTCAAACCTTCTAAGTTTTCTAACTTTCAAGACTCTTGCGAGAAAACTGAATTTCTCCGCCAACTTCCTTCTTCTGTACCATTTTTGGATCACACTGACGTTCACTTCGCGACGAGCGCTTTCTCTCTCTTTGAGCTCGTCTTCTGTATATTCTACTTCCATACCTTCTCCTGCAGAGTCAAGAATTTCGGTGTCTTCTGAATTGTCTCCCTCTGGACGGACAGCATGTCTAACACCAGATGCTTCCACTTGGTGCTGATCCCGTGTTAATTCTTCTCGCAAGTTGCATACCTCAGTGCGAAAACTTTGAGCGTAGCGGCTTGGATTTGATGGCCCATCAGACCAAAGTTGGCCTTTGTTCCAGCGAAGATCGTACAATTCTTCGCCACGGCTATCAAGCAGCTTCTTCAATGTTGTTATGACGTCAGGGAAACCTTTGGCTTCTTGAATTTCCTCTAGAGCTGTGCTGACGTGGTGAGGTAAACGGGGACTTGCCTTGATTTTAAGGATATTTTCCAGTAAAACTTTATCTAAGAAAATTGAAATTCCTCTTCCACAGTTGCAGAGCATGGTAAGGACCAACACCAGGGCTCTCTCAGCTTCCCCAGTGTCTTCTGAATCAATGGCGTCTCCTAACACGTCAAACAAGGGTGCTTCTTTACCACATGTCAATCTTGTCATGTAGTTCAGAATCGAATAGACTGCTTTTAACAGACCCAGTTTATCTGATTCATGACTAGCCTGGTGATCAACTGCCTCGTACAAGGTAAAGATGCCTTTCTCCCCAGCCCCTGGTCTGAAGTTATCCCAGAGCCGGACCACAGTAAGGTAACTTGCTGGTAAACAGACCGGATATCGGTGGTCTACACACAGGCGAGAGTACAATGCAAGACAAGCGGTCATTTGGTGCTCCAAGATCATGACCGTGTTGGCAATTGATGGATAACTCATACCACTTCGCTTTGCTGTTAATGTGAGGAAACGTCGGATAATGAAGTGGGCTGCATCTTTGACATTACCATGTACGTGTAGGCGTTTCTTTCCGTATTCCCACCAGTGCAGATAGCTTTCGTAGCGACGACCACTTTGGTTTGTGTCTTCAATCATGCCGTTCTTCACGAGGTGCTCATTTGTTAGCCTGGAACCCAGTTGTTTTGCCTTTCTCAGAAACCCATTCTCCTCTTCACAAATCAACCTCACCATAAAAGGAGAAGAACCAATTATTTGAAGACATGATGACACTTTAAGGAAGTTATCCGTGTCTGATCTGCGTTTGTCCTCAGCCATGCTTTTCCAAGAGTGGTGGGCAAATTGTGATAGTCGATGCTTTACTGATTGAGTAATTCTTATGTTATCAACTTGTGAACCTGTAAGATGATATTTTCTGCATCCCGAGGCAGGAAACAGAAAATTGTAGAAACGTTGACAAGCATGAAACTCTTTGAAATCATTAAACATCAATATTGCAGAGATTTCCATTCCATCTGGGAAAGCAGCAATGTCCGATATGAATCTT